TTCTCTGAATGTTCTTTTCTTCCTTCATTTCAGAGGGTCTCTTCCTCATCTTCATTAATCTTCCCAACGTCATACCAATAGCTCTGATACTTTTTTTTTTTTTTTTTTTGTACTGAGAATTAGACCTAAGGCCTTGCACATTCTAGGGAAATGCTCTATCACTGCACTATATCCCATTCTATTTAGGAAAGGAAATGAAGAAACTCAAATCCAGGCTGTCCAAATGCTGAAATGGTTTTTTGTTATTTCTTCCAGTTTCACAGATTGCTAGAGATGGCCTGCTGAAGTCCAATCTGGACTGCTCTCTACTAGCCATGTGTACTGGGAGAAACCTCTTACCTCTCTGTGGTATAGTGGCTTTGTAAAATGGGAATCCTAGTAGCCATGATGATCTCACATGTGATGAGGATCCAGTGATTATGAAGTACAGAGTTAGGGTTCAGCAGCTATCACCTTCTCATGATTGTCCCTGCCCCAGAATTGACCTATGTCTTATTTTCTTGGATAAATTATAGCTAGAATACAATTTTTGCCATTTAGTCTACCTGTGTACTGAAAAAGTATATTGTAAGTTTTCTTTGAAAACTGTAAAGCTACTTTTTACCTTTAAAGTAGATGCAGTTTAGAATCATCATCTGAGTAGCAGGATCTATGTTTTCCAGAGCGTCTTTTATCAGACCCTTGGTGAACTTCAGAATTTGGTCATTGGTTTTTGATACGAAAGCAGGGTCTGAGAAGTTAGCTGCTTGGGCTTCAGCAAAGTAATATTCTCTGACTTTAGTTTTGAAGTCATCCAGAATGGGAAACTGCTTCTGGATATAAAGGTTATTGACTGACTGAAGGGTGTACCCAAAGTTTCTCCTGAAGAGGCGATGAGTTAGCTTACGGAAGAGATTATGGATGGTCATGATCTCATACTTGCTGCTAGCATTAACAAAGTCTTTAAAGTGCAAAACCAAGTGCACCTGTTCATGGGTCTGTTCCCTCAGGCCTAAGGAAATCATTCCCATGGCAGTAGAAATTCCAACAGGTGCTATGAAGATATTGTCAAAAGAATTGCTCTGGTCCTTCAGTGCGCGGTAGAGGTTGAAAGCAAACTTTGCATTGAGAATGTTAAGACGCTGGATCCGGCTCTTGCCATGGAAAAGCTGCAGGATGTTTCCAGCACTGGATTCTGAGTCTGTTGGAGAAACTGCATCTATGATGTAAATGTAGTTGTCATCCTCACTGAGTAACTTTTCCAGGTCCAGATAGTCATCATCCTCCTCCCCCTCTGGAATCCAGTCATTAGTAACTGTGTTTTCTTTGTGGAAGTCAGCAGGCAGAAGGAGCATGCTTAGGTTTTTATTATTTGGCTGATCTTTGAGACCTTCGCTTCCATCACATGTGGATATTATAATGAGAGAAATGAGAAGACAGTGGAATGGGTATTTCATTTTGTAGAGCTAAAACTAGAGGGAAAAACACAGTATGGTGAGAGACATGAAGAGACTCTTCCCTCAGAGGCTAATTAGGTTATATGATTTGGTGCAAATGCACTTTGCTGTCAGGAAGAACTAAATCTTTTCCACTTTACTGCTTTGTGTGTGTGTGTGTGTGTGTGTGTGTGTGTGTGTGTGTTAGTAGAGAGTTAACTCAGGGCCTTCAGGATGGCTCTTGCTAAGTTGTTACATTGCCCAATCTGAGCTCCAGCTTTCTATCCTGTCTCAGCCTCTCAGAGCACTGGGATTATCGGTGTATGCCATCAGATGCAGCTCCACTTTACTGCTCCTAATCGGTCTCACCAGGCACCCAAAGTCTATGTGAGGGCGATGAAAGAAGGCTCTCCCTAAAGGCCTGAGGGGTATTCCCTTTATTTAAGTAAACAAAGTAATGTTTAATGGGGATCCTGTGATTGGCTTGTGGACTTTGTGGGTAGCTTGTTTTTTTCTACTCATCTTCTGCCTTGTTCCAAGAAGGATTTGCTTTGACTTGTCAAATCAATTTTGGCCACTAAATGGCCTTAACTTGCTCTTACTTCTGAGTTATTAACTTTATCCTGGGTAAATGAGCTGTTATCTGATGGGTGCTTCCTTGTTTCACTGAAGAGTGAATATAGCTGTTTAAAATGTTCACCCAGTCAGGCAATACATGATCCCAACTTCTGATTATCCCAGAAGGAATAATTGTGTTTTGTTAAATCTGTTGTGTATCTGTGACCATTTCCTATTAGAAGATCTACCGCCAGACTAGGGTAGAGAGGAGCTACTGGGCCCTGCTAATTATTTGAATGTAAAGCCTGAAGCTTTTTAGGAGGTAGAGTAATCCTCAGTTTAGGAACACTTCTGTTTGCAAACAATTCGGTTCACAAGCAAAAGTGGCAAAATTTTGCTTCCATTTGCAAACTCAGCACTGGGTGGCAGACACAACTATAGCCATCTTCCCCACATAAACACAAACACAGCCCATCCTCCCCCAAACCGTAAAACAAATTTAAGTTTGTAAATTGAGGTACCACTGTAACTGTACCATATAACTGTAACCCCACTTGAACTGCTCTTAATTTTTGGTTTTTGTTTTTTGAGACAGGGCCTCACTCTGTACTTCACTCTGGCCCTAAATGCACTATGTAGTCCAGGCTGGCCTCCAACTCCTGTAGTCCTCCTGCCTTAGCCTTCCAAGTGCTAGGATTACAGGTTTGTGCCACCATTCGCAGCCCTGCTCTCAGTTTTGTTGATGTTGGTAATGGCAGTGACTATTGATGGAGTTTCTGTTGGATGCTAGTCTCTGTATAAGGTACTTTGTACAGTTTAGCTTTGCACTCGCAGCATTTTACATATGAGGAAATCGAGCCTTTCATTGCTGTTGCTAATAAATGGCAAGGATTTGGGTTGGAGCTGTAGCTAGCTCAGTAGCTCACTCTTGCTTGCCCAGACCTGGACTTGATCTCCAGCCCCCAATGAATGAATGAATGGCAGTGATTAGATTTGAGCCATGTTGTTTGAGTCCCCCCACACTCCCTATGTCAGATGTTCTGCTTTAGGCTTTATAAGTTCAAATAATTAGCAAGGGCCTGTGGCTCCTCTCCCCTAGTTAGATCTTCTAATAGGAAATGGTCACAGATACACAACAGATTTAACAAAACACAGTTATTCTTTCTGGGATAATTAGAAGTTGGGATCATGTATTGCCTGACTGGGTGAACATTATAAACAGCAGCATTCACTCTTCAGTGAAATAGGGAAGCATCCTTCAAATGATAGCTCATCTATCCCTGGACATGCCCCAGCTACCTGGGCTTGGGGAATAATTGCTGCCAGTCTTCTTCTGTGGGTCCTCCATCTAGAGCACTATTAAAACAATCAGCTCCAACATTGTTTGAATTACATATTTTGGAGGGAAAAAGTCACATAGTTTCCGATTTGGAAAGTATCTGTTGTCTTTTCTAACCCTCCCTCTTGGCACCTCACTGAGGCTGCAGTGGCATGCACATAGTTTGCACCAATGCAGTGATTTCTAGAAGTGATTCCTAATGTGCATGCCTATAAGTAGAACTGGGCTCAGTTCCCACTTAAGTCAAACGTGGGTATCAGTGGTAATACATTTTAACAAGTTTGAAGTTAAGGAGAGCCAGGCATCATGGCAAATGCTTGTAATCCTAGCACTTGGGAGGCTAGGCTGAGGCAGGATCAAGCTCAGCCCGGGCAACTTAGTGATTTAGCAAGACTGTGCCTCAAAAAAAAAGTCTGGAAAGTAGCTTGAAGGCAGTAGGTTTAGTCCCCAGTACCAGAAAAAAAAGGTGAAGGAGAAAATGAGCAACTTCATGGAAGTCTCCCAGTTCAGCTGCACTTAAATATTCACAGATTAAAAAATAATAATAATAAGGTTAAAGAAAACAAAAACTAAGAAATTAAGCTGGGCATGGTGGCACATGCCTATAATCCCAGCACTTGGGAGGCTGAGGCAGGAAGGATCACTGTGAGTTCAAGGCCAGCCTGGGCTGCAAAGTGAGCTTAAAGCCAGCCTAAACTACATAGTGAGGTCCTGTCTCAAAAAAAGACAAGACAAAGCAAAACAGAAAAAACTCCAAAGAAACTAAAAAATTAGTAACTGTTCAAGAACATGAATCTGAGGCCACATAGGAAGGCGGGGTGAAGATATTCATGTTCTTGTTCAGTATTCAGAGAGTATATTTGTAAGCTCTTATGCCTTGTTCCTGCATTGTTTGATGAAAAGCCAAAAAGAAGTTTTTACTCATTCCTTACCAAAAGAAAAAAGAGAAAATACCTGATATTTTCTATGGATTGAGAAATTAAAGCTCTAAAAGGTAAATCTTTTACTGTTTTGCTATTTAGTGTAATACAAATAATGAGGCATTTAAAAACTATCTCTAGGTTGTATTTCAATCCAGATTACAATCTTTGAAGAGAAGCAATAATGTTTGAGATAAATTACATGAAGTTTGTTTTTCTGGAAACATGTAGCACTTTCTTATGGAGTGGTGTTGGCCTTTTTGTTTGTGCATCAGAGCAGAGTACCTGAAAACCATCGTCTCTCTCAGCTCATTGTCTCCAGGCTCAAACAGAGCAGGCAAAATGGGGGAAGTAGCTCCTTGCAGCTTGGAAAACATTTCATTTTGAAATAATTCAAATTTAGAGAAAGTTAAAAGAATAGAGCAGTAAAGCAGCGCTATATCCCCTTCCCCCAGATTCACCATGTTCTTACATTTTGGAACATTTTATTTATTCTTTATCTCTCTATTATATGTGTGTGTGTATATATACATGTATATGTACTCCTGTAGACACACACACACACACATTATTTTCTGAACCACTTAAAATTAGGACTCTTATATCATGTCCCTCCAACCTTTATTAATAATACTTTAGGGAAAAAAATGCCAAAACACAAGAATATTCTTGTACATAATCATAGAACAGTTATCTGGTTTGAATAGTTTAACATAGATGTAGGACTTTAATGTCTTCTACAGTTTTTATTCCAATTTTGTCAGTTGTCCCAATAATGTAATTGATAGAACTTTATAATAGACAGATTAAAATAAGAACATTTGCCCACTTTTTAGGTAGTATAGAAAGCTTCTAAAGTTGTATTTCAATAAAGGAACTAGTTGCCCATCTCTAAATACCAAAAATGAGAATTTATAATCTATAGAAATATTAGAAACTGAACTTACCCCTGTGCTTCTGAGAAGTGGAGTTACAGAGATAAAAACAGCCAGGGACACCAGTGGAGTTTCGATGTGAACTTTGGTGCTAGACTGTTATTGCATATTTTCCAAAGTAAATATGTCCCAATTCAAACACCACCCAACTAGCTTTGTCAGCACAAACCCCCTCAGCTGTGCCTTTGATCACTGTTTAGTGATTGGTGACTCCCAGGCTCCAGTTTGTCTTCTATGAAGGTTTTAAATGTGATTGTTGCAGGGTTCATGAAGTGTACTCAGGAGCGGCTCTCGCTGGAGCCTGCACATAACCCAGGCACTCAGAGTTCTGGGGGCCAGTTACCCCAGGGATAGCTGTAATGCTGCTCTGAAAGAAAGACCAGAGCATGCATCTGTCTTCCCACTGTGCCTTTCCCATCTGGGATGACCGCAGCATCTGACCTTGCCCTGACCACCAGGGCAGACATGGTTGGTTTGGCTATCAGGAAGGTGTCTTCAGCCCTCCACAAACTTATTCCCTACTGAAAAGTGGAGGGAAAATAAGATTTGTGGCTTATAGAATAGAGACTGTGGTAGAGACCTCTCTTTAGTCAAAGGTCACTGACTGTGGGAAACCATACTGTGTGGCTGTCTTGTCTGTTGTAGGACAGAAAGGGATATTACTCAGTTATACTTCCCAAACCTAGGTCCTCTTAGGCATTCATTGAGCCTATGGGGCTGTAATTAATATATTTTTAATTTTATGAGGTAAAATAATAATCTTGCTTGACTAGGAGACCAGCTTATCACAGGCCTGCTCCTTGATTTTGACACCCATAGCTTGGGAACTCAGGACCTTGCACTTGCCAGGCAGGTGCTTATGCCACTGAGCTATATCCTTGGCCTAACATTTTTTTTTTAATTGAGCATCTAGTCAGAATTTGTGCATTGCATCTGTCTGTTGGAGACCATCTATAGGGAGAGCACAACCTTTAGGCAGGAGAGTCTGTGGCTGCATGAGGCCTGTGGGCATCTATATGTTACTGTTTAATGGAAGTATTTTTTCTTCAGTGCTGGGGATTGAACCTAGGGCCTTATGCATGTTAGGCAAACGCTCTACCACTGAGCTGTATCCCCAGCTCTTTTTATCTTATTTTTAATAAGACAGGGTCTTGCAAAGTTTGTGCAAGTTGGCCACAAATTTGTGATTTTTCTGCCTCAGGGCTCCCAGGTAGCTGGGACTGCAGGCATATGCTGTTGTGCCCAGCTTATATATTGCTGTTGAGAGATGCTGGTGTATAAAGGGCCACTATGTTCAGGACATGGAAGGTATGGTTGGCTTTGGGTTTAGTATAGCACTCTAGTTTTAGTCAGAGTTGTTTCAGAGGTTTCATCTGTCCTACTTAATCCATCTCAACTTGGGTACCATGATATTGCTCAAGAAGGCTCTTCCTTGCATCCATACTCTTCTTGGGGGTTTGCTCAGCCTCATAAGCTCTTCTGTTCTCATACATACTAAGCTAAGCCCCTGGCAGAACTTTGGCACTTGCTGGTCTTTCTGCTTGGCACATCTTCCCTGTAGAGTGGCATATGGCTGCTGCTCTCCTGCTATTTATGAAGCCACACTAGTCAGTTGGCTAAAATCATACTCTCAGGGTTCTCCCCTCTAGAATGAAAGTGATGATTACATTTGCTGCAGTAAAGGGTTGTGAAAATGAACTGAGTGGAATGAGTGGAAAGTGTAGAGCGTCGCCTGGCATGAGTGGATGCTTGTAAATGGCAGCCTTTCTCATTTCACAGAATCCATGTTTTCTTAGAAAAAGTTGGGGAGAAGCCATAGCTTTCATTTGTACTATATGTACTTCTTTGCTGGAATTATTTCTATGAGTATGTATTGCCGTGTGTGTGTGTGTGTGTGTGTGTGTCTGTGTGTGTGTGTGGGGGGGGTATGCTGGGGATTGAACCCAGGGCTACACACATGCTAGAAATGCTCTGCCAAGGAAGTGTACCTCCAGCCCTCTTCTGTTAATTTTTTTTGATTAGTAGCTAGTGATGTTTCATGCATATGTAGCCTTTTGGTCATGTAACTCACTGTTGATAAAACCAGATTTCAACCTTTCTTGATAATCTTAACATTTTTCAATCTGTTCCTCATTTATGGGTAACAGATTGTACGTGGTTTGGCCTCCACTGTAAAGTGGTACCATCTGTCAACATACTCCATTGCTTTTGTTCCTGTTTCAAAGCTTGCCTTATGGTTAGGTATTTTTTCCAACTTTTAAATAAGAAATATAGAAAGGGTGCAGAGAAATTGGAAGAGTTGAATAATGCACATCTATATGTGAACAGCTTACGAAACAGCTAATAGTTTTGCTGTATCTGCTTAATTACATATGTGTGGGGAGGCATTGGCCATTGATGGGGGAATTTGAAGGTCAGTGGATTTGGCAACACTGCAGTTCTGGGCTCTGGAACATGTGTCACTTAAATGGAAGGCTCTCTGCCCTGTACTGTACCAGTTACGTCTGGGAAAATCATGGTCCTTGTGTATATCATGTATTCCAGTTCCATTCAGATTTCTGTGTGGCTTCAAAAATGTCTCTTTTAACTTTTTTTTTGTACTGGGAATCGAATTCAGGACCTTGCACTTGCCAGGCAGGTGCTTATGCCACTGAGCTATATCCGTGGCCTAACTTTTTTTTTTAATTGAGCATCTAGTCAGAATTTGTGCATTGCATCTGTCTGTTACATCTCTTTAGACTTTAAAAAAAAAAATCTATCTTTTTTCACTTGTCACCAACCTTATTTTTTGCTCTTTCCTATTTGTAGCCTTTCTATCAGATGGGGCCAGAGAAGACTCATATGAGTCTTTCCGTAGCCTTGTCCTAACTCCTTTTTGTCTCTCTTCAAGCGTAGGAATATTTCCCTGAACTGAGTCCCAGCTGACCACAGCCACATGCTGTCCTTATCTCTGGATATGTCAATGCAATGCTAGGTTTTCTGAAACTACTCTTCCTTTTGTGGGGACATGAGCAGGCTCAGCTGAGATGATAACCCGTGGGCCAGGAGGAGTCAGAACACAGGGGCCATTCACAGGGCACTTTCAAGTTGAAGCCTTAGGGAACCCAGAAGCTCATAGAGTGAGGAATAGGATCCCAAATCAGAGAGTGGAGTCACTTTCTCTTAGGTATGTAAAAACCACTGAAGGAGCCAGGCAGAATGGCACATTCCTGTAAACTCAGCACTCAGGCTAACGTAGGAAGTTCAGTCCCACCTAGGCAACTTAGAACCTGTCTGAAAATAAAAAATAATAAAAATCTGGATGTAGTTCAGTGGTAGAAATATCCCAGGGTTCAGTTTCCTAGTATTGCAAAACAAAGCAAAACAAAACAAAATGAAACAATAAGAGTTTCCCAGCCAGTTTGTGGAGCTTCTGATTCCATCAGGAGTGAGGTATTCTGGAAGTCCAATCTTTTCCATAACCACCAACGCATGTTCTGTTTATAAGACCTCTAATGTGTGTGTGTGGTGGCGGGTAGTAGGGTTTGAATCCAACAGTCACACATAGTGAGCAAGTGCTCTGATACTGAGCTACACCCCCAGACATTTTCTGTGTTTTATTTTGAGACAGGTTCTTGCTGAGTCACTAAGTTGCCTGGGCTGGGCTTGAATTTTCAATCCTCTTGCCTTAGTCCCCCGCAGTAATGGTATTGACATTTGTGCAACATCATGTGTTCCTGTATGTCTTGGCATTTTCATTTATATTTTGAGACAAGCTCTAATAAGTTGCTCAGGCTGGCTCTGATCCTCCTGCCTCAGCCTCCTAGAGTGCTGGGATTTCAGGCATGTGCCAGTATGCTTGGTTAGCTTATTGTTTTGATAGATTCTTAGAGATGGGATTTGGGGTGCAGTGTTTTTGGAGACATTTAGAATATTTTATACATATTATCAAGTCTCTTTCCAGGAAGTGTTTTGCCAATCTATAGTCCTTCTATTGTGTGAATTGTCCCAGCAACGAATATCCCCATTTATCTTACTCTGCGTCCTTGGCCCAGGGCCTGGCCAGATTTGGTGTCTGTGAGCTGTGAGTATTTGGGTAGCAGAGACTACCTCACTGCATTACTATATCGAGGCTCATGTCCTGGAGGGTCTTTGTGGACTGACCTGCCTAGTTGGGTGTTTTGCACCAATGTAACCATTTTAGAAAACTGATGATGACGTGCCATGACTCATACGAGGTGGGCACTATCTCAAGCAAGGGTACAGGGAAATTTGACTCCTCACACCTGCACCCAAGCAACCCTGCTTTTACCTGTTTGCCATATTGGGACTGTACCCAAGATTACTGTATGAAAAAGTCATTATGTGATTATTTGTCCACCTGTCTTTCAACTAGATAAAAAATCCTTAGAGTACAAGAATAGGGCTTTCAACTCCCAGTCGCAGTCCCTGCTGCACCAGATAATAAACAAGTGAATTAATTAACTACTAAGAAATTATTGAGAGGTACTGCTCAGTGTGTCTTTTCCTACTTGCCGTGACTGACCAAGTCTCTGAGAATGCTCTTAGAGAGTGAATCTGTGCTTGATTCTACATTAACTTGTATTAGGGTTTTGTGAGCGAAATAACTTCTGTTCTCTTTTTGGCATATCAGCTCACCCGACGATTGCCACCCATCAAGGAAGCTAAGCCTCGGTTACAGAAGCTCTTCCGGGACTTCTGGCTGTACTCTGTACTGATGGGATTCGCTGTGGAGGGCTCAGGTAGGAGGCTGATCTCTCCCAGGAAAGACAGAGTGGAGAAGGGAAACAAGGACGAGATGGGGCTCATCCTGATTATGAGGGTGAGCACATTCAAAGTGAGTCCAAATGCAGCTGTTCCTTTCTACAAGTATTTATAAACATCACCCTTCCCAGAGGGAGCATAGGATTTTTAAAAGGTATAAAGGGATTTTTTTTTTAATGCAGCACTGAAGGTACACACTCAAGGAAAATAGTGTGAGCCCTCAAGAGAGAGACATTATAGTTGGAATTGGGCACCCACCTGGTACCCTCCTTTAAATTTTGAGACAGGGTTTCACTAAATTGCTAAGTTGCCCAGGATGGGCTTGAACTTGTAGTCCTCTTGCCT